TTCCTGGATGCCAGCTCTCAGACCCTCTCTTTCTATGAATCTAGAGTCCTCAGCTGCTCTATCTCTCCACATCCCCATCTCTGCCTCCGTCTTTGGTGTTGCTGCTTCTCTGGATAGGGTTCCACATTCTGCTTGTGCTCTTCTCCCTTGATTGTCCTAGGGTCCTCTGTTTCTGGACTATAAGATTAACTATCCGTTTTTGTTACAAAATTTCTTCCTTTACAATTGTGACAGTTGCAATTTGTCATGATAACAATTACTATTGAATCATAGAATCTTATACCTATCTCTTTTCACCAGACCCATCTAAACAAGATGAAAACTATTTAGTTTGAGTTTTCCATCTTGATGTGGAATGTTTCTTAAATGTAGTCCAGGGTGCAGATTGAATAGTATGAGGAAAGGAAGCAAACCTGACACACACCTCTCCTGATTTTAAACCATGCTCTACTGATTCTAAATCTCCATGTTGTGTTCAAATGACTGCCTCTTGGTCTGTGTACAAGTTCCACATGAACACATGTATTCTGGAATTCCCATTTTTGCAGTATTATCCATAATTTATTATGACCCACACAGACAAATATCTTTACATAGTCAATTAAAAACAGTAAACATATATCTGGTATCCTTTGCTTTCAGCCAAGATCCTTCTTTCCTCATTCCATATCCTCTTCTGAATTTGGCTTGAATTTCTGGTTGTTGTTGTTGTCACGTGCCATGGAGTTGTCTCCGGCTCATAGCGACCCTGTACAGGGTTTCTGAGGCTGTAAATCTTTATGGGAGCAGAAAGCCTCTTCTTTCTCCCGTGTAGCAGGTAGTTCCGAACTGCTGACCCTGAGGATAGCAGCCGATTTGTAACCACTGCGCTACCAGAGCTCCTTGTAGTTCCTGTTAATGTACTACTGTAGCCATTTATAGATTATTTTCCACAAAATTTTACTTGCATGTGATATTAGTGATGTTGTTGTTGTCAAGTGCTGTCTAGTCAATTCCGACCCGTAGCAACCCTGTATACGGTTTCCAAGGAGCAGCTGGTGAGCTTGAGTCACCGACCTTGCAGTTCAAATGGCTTTGCAGTCTGACGCATTAATCCACCAGAACTCTGATATTAATGATACTGTTAGGTAATTTCCGTATTCTACTGAATCGCCTTTCTTTGGAATGAGCCCAAATAGGGATTTCTTCCAGTCAGTTGGCCAAGTAGCTGCCTTCCAATTTTCTAGGCATGGACAAGTGAGTGATTCTAGTGTTGCATCTATTTGTTGAAACATCTCAGTTGATATTTCATCAATTATTGGAGCCTGGTTTTCACCAGTGCCTTTAGTGTAGCTTAAACTTCTTCCATTAAAACTAACTCCAGGTGTGCAATACTTTGTCTTTTCAAGGCATCCTGTGAAATCTTCTGTTTAGGTCTTTTACTTCATTCTGATCATTTGCCTCCAGAAATGGTTCAATGTTGACCAATTTTTTTGGGCATAGTGACTCTATGTATTCTCTTCATCTTTTGATGCCACCTGTGTTATTTAATGTTTTGCCCATAGAGTCCTTTAATATTTCAATTTGAGGCTTTAATTTCTTGTTTAGCTCTTTCAGCTTGAGAAATACTGAGTGCATTCTTCACTTTTGGTTTTCTAAATCTAGGTTTTTACACATTTCATTATAATATTTTGTCTTCACAAGCCACCCTTTGAAATCTTCTGTAGCTCTTTTACTTCATCATTTTTTCCCAATTAGTTTTAGCTAGTCTACATTCAAGAGTTACACATATGTTGTTAAATGCTGTCGAGTCGGTTCAAAATCATAGCGACCCTCCATAGGGTTTCTGAGGAGCAGCTGGTAAGTTTGAACCACTAACTTTATGGTCCAGTGCTTATCCCACAGTGCCACATCAGGACTCCTACATGTATGTTGTTGTGAATTGCCATCGAGTCAGTTCCAACACATAGTGACCCTGTATAGGGTTTCCAAGGAGCAGCTGTTGAGCTTGAACCACGAAAAGTGCAAAAATCACAGATCTGTCACTTAAGAATAATTATAAAGCAAACACCTTTATGACCATTGTCCAGATCAAAAATAAAGCAATACAGCAACCTAAAAGTTATGCCTTTTCCTGATCATAAATTGAATTTTTTTAAATTAATATTTCCTTGACTTTATTTATAGCTAACTACAGTGTTTTTTTCTCACTAAACACTGCAGTTTCATTTTACCTATTTTTGAATTTCATGTAAATGGAAGCTTGCCATGTATTTTTTGTGTCATGCTTTTTCACTCAGCATATTACATATGTGTGAAATATGCACTGAACTAAATACCTTCATTTTTAACTGGTTTAGTATTCTATTTTAATGAATATACCACAGTTATTTACGAATACTACTACTATTGGACATCTGAGTTGTTTCTATCTGCATTTTCTTCACCTGTAAAAGGGCGTAAATATTTTTTATCCCTGGATTGTTTCACAGAGCAAGTGAGGTAGTGAATAGGAAAAAATTTTTTAGAAGAACACAAATTTGAGGTAGTAACAATGGATATCAAGGAGCCCTGGTGGTGCCATCTGTAGGATAAGATTAGTATTACAGCCTGTGACCCCTGGAGGGCGCTACGAACCTGCTTTTGAAAAACTTCACTTACCTACTTCCGTATAGTTTAGGAGTCCCACATCCTATAAAGTCGGGTGAATGACATTTTCATTGGGAGGAAAAGAGACTTAAATTTCTCTTCTATTCATTGGTTGAGAGCTACAATGACAGGGCTCTTTTGGATTCCTCTAGGAGTTGAGTGTGGCTCTATACAAACATTTCCTTTCCCTGCAAGATGGGGAGACCTATCCAGATGCAAGAGAACTCCGTCTCCTCTGCTGCGACATAGATCCAGTCCTGGTGGAGCGAGCTAAAAAAGAATGCCCTTTTCCTGATGCTGTGACCTTTGTTACACTGGACTTCATGAATCAAAGGACCCGGAAGGTTCTCTTAAGCTCTTTCTTAAGCCAGTTTGGATGCTCAGTTTTTGACATTGGTTTCTGCATGTCGGTAACTATGTGGATTCATCTCAACCATGGGGATCAGGGCCTGTGGGAGTTCCTGGCTCACCTTTCCTCCCTCTGCCGTTACCTCCTTGTAGAGCCACAGCCCTGGAAGTGTTACCGGGCAGCTGCAAGACGTCTTCGAAAGTTGGGCCTCCATGACTTTGATCACTTCCACTCCCTTGCTATCCGAGGTGATATTACCAATCACATTATACAGATCTTGACCCAGGACCATGGCATGGAACTAGTATGCTGCTTTGGCAACACCAGCTGGGGCCGAAGCCTTCTGCTCTTCAGGGCAAAACAGACCATGGGGACTCATCTGACCCCTGAATCATTGATAGAAGAAGAGAAAGAAATGAATAGATTAACATTCTTGAGACAGTGAGATGGGAGGAAGAGAAAATCATGAAAAGGATTTTACACTGAGAATTAAATCTTGAGTTCACTCTAATTGACTCCTTAACAGTTGAACAAGCTCAAAATCTGGCAGAAACTTTTGGCAAAATGTCCAAGGCATGCAATCGAAAGAGTCAGTATCTTCCCATTGTTTGGGATATACCTGAGGAGAATAAACCTATAGAACAATGAACTGAGCCATCTGGATTGAGGTGAACTGGCGAAAGTGATCCTGATTTTGGGATGTAGAAGGGCCTGATTTCGGGGTTGAGTTATAAAAAACAGGTTTAGGTTGTGTTAGTTCCCTGGGATCATTGAATTTGACCTGGCTTCCTCAGGTTTCTTAATTTACTGGTCCTGCCTTCAAGCCGAACTTTCTAATATAATATGGAATGAAGCAGCACTGATCTACCTAAAGCAAAGGGTTAACAGGAAAAGCATCTTATCTTTATAAACTGGCAAGTCACATCTCCAGGATGCACTGACTGGTATTTAAAAGATATATAAAGATTTAAATCATGAATCCAACATCTGTCTGTATAGATGAATAAAGTGAAAGTGTATATGATTTATGAGACTATATGTAATAAAAATGAATTGCGTATGTTTGAGAATGCCATGTGAGTTTGGGATAGATAAAGAAATCCTACTTTTTCCATTCTTTCCATGAGGGAGCCTTGGGCTTGACTCCCAATGAGTGTACCCACTCATAGTCACCACATCTTATCAATGAATCACTGCTGTTAAGTGCCTCCAAGTCGGTTCTGACTCGTGGCCACCCTTTATAGGGTTTTCAAGGAGCAGCTGGTGAGCTTGAACCGTCAACCTGCAGGTCAAACCAACTTTGCAGTCCAGCACATTAACCCGCAGCATCACACCAGGCCTCCACCCACCACTGTCCCCAGATAATTCTTGTTGTGAAGTGCCATTGGGTCAGTTTTGACTCATAGCGACCTTGTATAGGATTTCCAAGGAGTGGGTTTGAACTGCCAGCCTTTCAGTTAGCAGTCCAGTGCTTATCCTACAATTCTTGTTAGGTGCCGTCGAGTTGATTCTGACCAATAGCAACCATGTATAGGGTTTCCAAGGAGCAGCTGGTGAGCTTGAACCACCAACCTTGCAACTTTACAGTCTGACACATTAGCCCACAATGCCACAATTCTTAGGTACCTCAAATTCAATGATCCCAAAATCAGACTCATTATGCTTGTCCCAAACCTAATGCTATCATTTGGTGACATACCCACCCCAGTTTCCTCACTTACACTCCCTACACTGAAATAGTTACCAGTAATTTCTACCAATGACATCTTAAGTGCTGTTGAGTCGGTTCCAATTCATAGCAACCCTGCACAGGGTTTCCAAAAGGTGGCTTGTGGGTGTGAACCACTGACCTTGCTGTTAGCAGTCCAGTGCTTATCCTACAGTGCCACACCAGAGAGTCTCAAGGAAGACTGTTCTGCCCTGGAATTCAACCCAGGTTTCAAGAATGGAAGTCTTGCATAACACCACAGCACCAGCAATGCTGTTTACCAGTGATACGTAAGTATTTATTCCATCTATTTGGTTGGCACCTACCAGACGTTTCCGTGTAAGTGAACTACTCCATTCTCTGCCTTTCTGCCAGTGTTCTTTCTCAAATATCTAATTGTGTTAGTATTATGCTTAAAAGCTTTCAGTGGCTCCCTAGAGTCTAGAATTCGGTACCTAAACCTATGTTGTTCAATCCAGTAACCACTTACTGTGCAAACCTTTCATGATTGAACCTGCTATTTTGTGCTTTGAATTTTTTGTTCGAGACCAGACCAGTATGTTCAGTATTGAAAGGCATGCTAAAAGCAAGGGGGAAAAGTGTTTGGGGTTTTCTTATTTTGCTTTGAGGTATTGTGAATTCTGATACGAGAGGGCCTCAAAAAGTTCATGGAAAAATAGAATGAAAGAATAATGAATTTTTCCAGGAACTTTTGAAGCTCCCCTCTTATGTCCCAAGTGAAATTCAGTTCCTCAGTCACACTAGCCACGTTTCAAGTGCTCGATAGCTAGATATGCTTAGTGGCTACCGTATTGACCTACATACAGTGCAGATACAGAACATTTCCATTGTTGCAGAAAATGTTATAACAGGGGCCTGAACTCCATAACATGGCCTTCATGTCTCCCCTATAGTCCAAGTGTCTCATGGACCACTCCCATAGACGTGCCATGTCCCTTCATACCACTAGAACTTACTATAAGACATTCCTCTGCCCCTCTTCCCTCTCCTCCTACTCTCCCACCTTGCATCTTGAAATTATTTGTTCTAAAAGATGCCTTAAATTTACTTTGGGCCAATATTTCCCAACTCAAGTACTTTACATTTATCCACTGCATTTTTGTGGGGACTTTGCAAAGAAACCTCTATTATAGTATTTGGTACATAACAATTGTTTGCATGCCTCTTTTCTCCTCACCATAAGACTGATTTTAAACCTAACTTACTGTACATGTGTGCCTAGCACAATGCCTGACACATGACAAGCAGTCAAGAACTATTTGTTGAAAAAAATATATGAATAAATAAAAAAGAAATCTACCTGAATTCAATTGTTGAGATCAGTGATTGGGCTGCCCAGGAAACCATGAGAACAGAGGAAACTTTGAAAGTAAGCTTGGCCTTTGACACAGAAGTTTAAGATTTATTTTACAAAACATGTCTTTGAGATAAAATGTTCATTTCAAAGACTTGACTATTGGTAATTTGAGAGAGAAGAACAGATTAAGACTTATGAAAATTTGGAAGTCATGTAGAGTGATTGAAATTTAACAAGTAACTTAGTAAATTTCAAAAGTAAGTGGGGAAAAAAAAGTGGAAATATAGGTGCTCTGGTTTGTTTGAATAATTTAGGCAGTTCTACATCCAATGCTTGAATTTTTTCTTTAGTTCCCCCAGCTTGAGAAATGCTGACCGTGTTCTTCCCTTTTGGTTATCCAACTCTAAATCATTGCATATTTTATTATAGTATTTGGTTTTATCTTCTCAAGCTGATCTTTGAAATTTTCTGTTCAGCTCTTGGACCTCTTCAATTCTTCCATTT